TCGTGGTCGCGGTCGCGGTCGCGGTCGTCGTGGTCGTCTTCGTGGTCGTGGTCGTCGTCATCGTCGTTGTCGTCGTCGTCGTCGTCCCCCTTCAGGGTCGGCGGCACCAGCCGAAGGGCTTCGCAATAACTCCTCCCTGTCGTAACACCAGACGTGTCGTTAGGGTGCGCCGGGCGTTTCCCCTGAGACTTCCTCACCGCCTACAGTATTGAAGATTCAAATTTCCAACAGTTCTAAGGATGCAGGGCGGGTAGTTTCAAAATAGGGCTTTGCCTTGGCGTCGCACACACTCATTCTAAACAAGCCCCTCATTTACGCAAATGGAGGGTGATTGGTTATCCAAATGGAGCTCTACCCTCGGCGCCGCGGACACTCGTCTTACATAAATCCAACAACTACAGAGAGAAACGCGAGTGTCATTCAAAATCGAACTCTCGCCATGGCACCGCGCACAATCGTCCTAAACAAAACGAACACGAATGGAGGCGTGGTGGTTTTCAAAATGGGTCCATCGCCAGGGCGCCGTGCACGCGCTTCTTGTAAGAAATCAAACAGATACACTGATGAGGGCAAAGTGCCTTCAAAATTGAATTGTCGCCTTAGACTTCTTAAGGTTCTATGACCAGATGACCAGAGTACAACCTTCTCACCGCGGGGCTGTCGGCGGACACTTCCTGCAATTGTATGATATCACTTTATCGCAATCACTATCGATCGAAAAATAGAGGGCAATTGATTTTCAAAACGGAGCTCACGCCTGGATTGTGGGACCACCAGGCACTGTTTATCAAGGAGGCGCTTTTCGCAATGAAAAAATACTTGCAAGGACTACAGATGAAGGGACTTGGGACAGGAGGGTGTAGAGCAGCATCATTAATGCACGTTGGGTATACCTTGGCCCACCTGCTGCTCCACCTCCTCATCTTCCTCCTTCCAACCCTCCTCAATCTCCTCATCCTCCTCATCCTCATCCGATCTCCATTGGTATCAACAATATCAGTATCACCATCGTCATCAACAACAACCGAAGTAGCATCACGAACGCCGTCATCATCATCATAATCATCATCATCATCATCATCATCATCATCATCATCATCATCATCACCAGCATCCTCACCATCATCAACAACAACTCTATCAACTACGTTATCATAATCATCGGCTTCATCGTCATCACCATCATCGCACTCAACATGTCTACCATCAATTTATTTGCCATCCTCGCAATCGACTTTGTTCATCAACATCACCACCATCATCTGCGTCAACGTCATTGCCATATGTCTAAACATCCGATACATCACCATACACATCAACATATCAATCCGTGCCAGCATCAACAGCATCATCAAGACCAGCAACACCATCATCACCAACATCAGTATCATCAACACCCTCACCATTATTACAACACGTATCAAAATCCGTATCATGGTCATCGCCACAGTAATCACCTTTGTCATAATTACATGTCATCGTCGCCAGACATTGCAGTCTACGACACCATCATCAACATCACCATCAAAACCATAATCATCTTCATCAACATCATCATCAGCATCGCCATCATCGTAAGTATCACGATCATCAGCATCAGCATCATCAGCATCACGATCATCAGCACCATCACCCCAATCATCCCAATCAGCATCATCAACATCAACATCATCATCAACTTCATCATCATCAGCGGCATCATCACCAGCATCACCAGCATCGGCATCAGCATCATCAGCAGCTGCCACAGCATCATCATCATCATCCTCCTCCTCATCATCATCATTATCATCATCCTCATCCTCATCCTCATCCTCATCCTCGTCCTCGTCCTCGTCCTCGTCCTCCTCTTCCTCGTCGTCGTCGTCGTCGGCTCCCTTCCGTTTACACGGGCCTTCCTCTTCAACCGCCAACCACAAGGAAACTGAGGAAAGTTGTTGTTGAGTCGAAAGGAAGCCCTTCCCTGTGATCCCTTCCCCGCCGGGAGGGAAGGGGGTGGGAGCGGGGTGGGGCCCCGGGGGGGCCGGGGTCCCGGGAGAGGTCCCCTCCGCGGCCGCCTCCCAGGCCTCCTCGAGTCATGCAGATCGGCAACCGGCCCGGGGGGCGGGAGTGCGAGGGGGCGGGCCTTCCCAGAAGGCTCGGAGGGCCCCCGGCCGTTTGAGAAGTCTCCTGGGCCGTCCCCGAATACACCGCAAACTTCTCGGAATACTGCCCCCCCCCCCCCCCCGGGTGCAGGGGGGGAGTCGCCAGCGGGGGTCCTGGGGGAGGTCTCGGGTCGGCGGCACCGCCCGCAAGGCTGAGGTGGGGCATGCCCTCCCGCAGGCGGATTTTGGACGAACGATTCAAAATTGCCAAAACATACTCAAGCAGATCAAGCAAGAGCCGAACGATCGGCCCGATCATATTTTCGGACTATTTCCGAACATATCTCCTGTGAAGGGACCTGCCCGCCTTCCTGCAGGGCCACTCCCGTCGGATCGAGCTGGCCGAGGCCGAGGCAGAGCCGGACCGCTCGGATCGAGGTGGGCCCTGGCCAGCGAGAGGCGTCGAGGGCCCCGCCCCTGCCTCGGGGCACGGGGGCTCGAGTGCTCGCGCCGGGGCACTTGGCCCCCCCAAACGTTTTTGTTTGTCGAGTCTGCGAAGCATACGTCTCTACGGAACATTCTGCGCATTCCCACTGGATTCGACGGACACTCAACTCTTAGAGGCCTCCTAGTGTCTCTACGGAGCACTCTGCGCATTCCCAGAGGATTCAACGGCAAGAGGCCTCCTAGATGGGGTCGCAGTAGATGGAGTCGGAGAATCACGCCGATGCACCGCTGGTCGCATCGGCGATGCATCGGCGATGCGCCAGCGGTGCATCGTCGACGTCGGCGATGCATCTTCGACGTCGACGTGAAGCAAATCGGGCTCCACCTCGAGACGCAGCGGCGATGCATCGGCGATGCGGCGCGATCCTCCGACCCCATCTACTCGGACCCCGTCTAAGAGGCCTGCAATTCTCACTCACTCACAAGCCATACGCCATCCGGCGCGTGGGCAGGAAACCAAGGACAAGCAATCACAGACAGCAATGGGTGAAACGCTGCGCCGGCTAAATTGATCAAGAGGAGAGAGAGGAGGCGGAGGAGGAGGAGGAGGAGGAGGAGCAGGAGCAGAAGAAAGAGAGGAGGAGGAGGAGGAGGAGGAGGAGGAGGAGGAGGAGGAGGAGGAGGAGGAGGAGGAGAGGGAGGGAGGAGGAGGAGGAGGAGGAGGAGGAGGAGGAGGAGGAGGAGGAGGAGGAGGAGGAGGAGGAGGAGGAGGAGGAGGAGGAGGAGGAGGAGGAGAGGGAGGCAGAGGAGCAGCGCCATGCTGTAGCCGATCTCCTGCTCGATTCTCTGGGGTGGGGGGGCGAGGCCCTGCAGCGAGGCGCAGCCTCCCTCGCGGCGCGCCCGTCGAGGCGAGCGGTGGCCTCAGCACCTCCTCGGCGCCGCGCGGTGCGCCCTCTCGGCGCCGCTCCCCGGGCAGCATCCGGTCGGCAGCGGAGCGGGAAGCCAGATCGACTCTTGAATCGAGCCCGTCCCTCTACAGGAGGAGAATTCGAACATAGTCAACAAAAATACTCAGGTCAACATGTTCGTTTTCAACTATCTTTGCTTTTGCGGAAACTATTCCAAAATTTTCGCCCGAAATCCGCCTGTAGGAGGATATGCCCGGCCTAAATCGATTAGGAACGCGCGTCGGTCGTGTCGGGCCGCATCGGCGCGAGGTCGAAATCGAAACCAGCTCGGCTGCGCCTCGATGCGCACCAGCGCCATGCAAGGGCCACATCGGACCGCGGGGACATCGGACACGAAGCCGCCGCGCCCTGCGCCTTCTCGCACCGCGCGGGCGACGACGAGGAAGCAGGTCTTACGCGAGATGGCATAGCTGCCTTACGCGGCAGCTTGCGCGGGCCGCCTGCGCGGCACACGCCACACTGGAGATGAGAGCGCCCCCGCGCGGCTCTGCGCGGGCAGCCTGCGCGCCAGTGCCAGCGCAGTGGCGACCAGCTTCTGCGCTGCTCACGTCTGGGAGGAGGAGGGGGGTCGGCGAGGGGGCGGGCGCGTCGCAAAGGGGGCCAGGAAGAGGAGGGCTTGCGCGGGCCCGCGGGGGCGTGTCAGCACAGGGGTGGAAGTCAAGAGATCCCGGAGCATTCATAGACCCGGCCATGATACATGCAGCACTCCTCAGTCCTCCCCACCCTCTTGGACTCTCCAGACGACGGGGGCACTCATCACGCCTTTTTGTCGAGTTATTTAATAACAAATGGCGCGTCTGCCTTGCCTTGAACCCTCTGCAACCCCCGCGGACCAGTCCAGCCCGAACAACAGAAAACCAGAGGGAGGAGGAGGGGGAGGAGGGAGGAGGAGGGAGGAGGAGGGAGGAGGGAGGAGGAGGGAGGAGAAGGGAGGAGGAGGGAGGAGGAAGGAGGAGGAGGGAGGAGGAGGAGGAGGAGGAGGAGGAGGAGGGGGAGGAGGGGGATTTCCCAGCGGAGGCGGGTCTTTGCTTCAGGGGGCGTCCAAGAGGGGGGCGTCTACGAGGGGGGGGGCGCAAATCATGGCCGGCAGCATGGGCGCAGCCCAGGGGGAGGGGTTGGGGACGGATTTTGAACGCCCGAAATGGGTACGGAAAGAATGGGTACAATGTCCAACAACAAATGTTGTCCCAAACCAACTGCGGCCGCTGTTGGGCAGGCGGCCTTCTGTCTCAAGTTGCCACAGACCGCGGCGGCGTGGACAGCGAGTGCTGTCCAAATGGAACAGGAGCTGCTGTTGGGCCTTGTACCCATTCTTTCCGTACCCATTTCGTTCGTGCCGAGCCATGGAATCTGGGGAGATATCATATCATGGCGCTGGCCATGATATCCCCCCCCTAGTCATCACCCGCCTCTTGGCTTCCCCCGATGTCTTTGTGTTCATGAGATTGGATGGCGGGCACGGTGGATGCATGGCACGATGGACAGCCCAGCCCCCCCCGACCAGCAATCAGCGGCGAGATCTGCTCCACGCTGCTCGTAGATCTGGCGACCGGGCATGGAAGAAAAAACAAAAGGATAAGCTGGCTGGGTGATTGGCGAGCGGCCGTGTGCAACCGCTGAAAGCTGTACGCCATACGATCTGCTGGTGAGTATCCGTCGGTCGGAAGAAGTGGAAGAAGTGGGAAGAAACATTGACTGGGAAGGCGTTGAAAGTAGATTGGGCTTCCGCCCGCCCCCTGAGGACGAGGGAAGAAGGAAGACTACTCCACTCTTGAAGTATGAAAGCGCCTGCAATAGATTTGGGCTTGGGCATCCCAAAATACCTACTTTCAACGACCGGCGTGTAAGCGTGCGCGGCTTTGACTGCAAAGCCTGCTGCCAAAGCGCAAAAGAGGCTCGGGGAACGGGGGACCGCAAGGCGGTGATAGAAAAGTTGGAGTGAAGATCGGATGAGATGAATGCGAGGTGACAGCAGGCTCAGACCAAAACTCAACCACACTCGTACAGGCACTGCCATGGAGGGTGAACTTCGAAGCTGCAGCTCTGTGGTTGGCCTGAACGGCTAGCAACGACCATCCAGGATTCGCACACTGCCCCCGCACCTGCACAAGCTGTCGCACATGGACACATCAGGGGCACAAAGGAGTCCGTCACTAGGCGCTGCCATCCGCGGAGGAGGCTCACGCACCACCGCGAAAGGCATCCACACAGACATCCGGCACGCAGACCTGTCTTTGGCGGTCCGCGGCTCGCCCCTCGGGGCGAGGAGGCCAAGAGGCTCGGGAAGTGGGAGCCCGCGCGCTCTGTCGGGGAGGGCGCAGAACGCATGACAGAGTCGATTGCCCGCGGCGAGGCCAGAGCCCAGGCGAGTGGAGGCCCGTCCGCCAGAAGCCTTCACGAGAAACCCAACCCGGAGACCCCAGGACGTCCACCGATCTGCGGGATGGGAACGTCGCGCGCTCCATAGCAAAACCGTCGGGACCCAAGAAACCCGGGGCACCCTGGAGGCAAGCATGGCGCTTCTTGGCAGGGGCCTCATCTGTGTGCTGCATCTCGGCGGGGCCTTGCGGAGCTTCCTGCGGCACCCCTGGGGCCACCCGCTGGGTCGGGGCCCTGCGGCCCCTGCGCCGAACCGTCCTCAGCGCTGGCCCAGGTCTCGCGGCCATCTTGCTGCCGTGAGGTCGGCGGCGGGCGAGAGGGGGAAGGGGGGGGCGGGGGGCAAATGAGACGGATGCCTTCTCAGAAGGCGGCGGGGCTTCTCAGAGGCCCGCGCGCTTTTGGAGCAGGTCGTCCTGCGGCTTCGGGGAGGGCTTAGAAAACTTCCCAGAAGGGCGGGGGACTTCCGAGCCTTCTGCAAAGGCTCGCCCCTTCTCACTTTCCCCCAAGGCTCGCCGCCGATTTTGGAGATCCTCGTCGCGGGCTTCTGGGTCACAAGTCGGGTCCTCCGCGGCCGTTCGGGACGATTCGGGCATTCCCAGAGCGCGCTGTCGGCGAGGCGCAGCTGCTAGAACGCATCCTGAGGCTGGAGAACCGCCGAGAACTATCGAAAGCCCTCGAACGCCCCCCCCGGGCTCGCCGCCGATAACCGTGCATCACGCAGGTCCAGGTATTACGGCCGTCGTGGTGCCATAAGGAAGGCCACGTAGGGTCCGAAGGGGGCTTTTCTGGCCACGACCAGTCTCGGTCACGAGTGGGTTCCTCCAGGGCAAGACCTAGTTAGTGGTGTTCGTGTTCGTGTTGTTGTCGTTTTCCCTTGCCTTGTCTTCAGCCCGCCTGTGCCGCACAACGGAATCGAAACGACAGCGGCCGACGAAATCGCCAAAACACCGTTCAGGCCCACCCCTGGGTTCCCCGTGGCAGGTCTGAAGAAGCGGCCCCACCGAGCCCCTCCCGAGCCGGCAGTGGTGCTCATTCCATCGTCTTGACTGCGGGGCCTCATGGGTCCTCATGGAATTGGGCGGACCCCTGACGATGGGCCGATGTTCCACCACAACTACCATGTGCAGTGGAGGGGACATGAGGAGGGTGAGGACGGGGAGGAACAGGAGGAGTAGGAGGAGGAGGGAGGAGGAGGACGAGGAGGAGGAATAATGAGGGAGGAGGACAGGGAGGAGGAGGACGATTCGATTCGATTCGCACACCTTCGGCGCCAACATTGTTTCTGTCATAGTGAGTGATTACATACTCAAGCTATTGTTCTGCAAAATCGCGCAATCGCCAATCGTGATATTTCGCACAACTGCGAATGGCTACTGGCACGGTGAACCTCTGGCTTTCAGAGGAGAGTGCATATGCCATGCTCTATGCACTTAGGGCCGCGGCTGCGGTCCCGAGAAAGACCAGCCTGGCCCCATGCAGCCACCGACGCATGAGGTAGCCACGAGGGACCAGGGCAACTAAGAGGTAGCTCGTGATTTAGCTATGCTCAGTATATGCCTACTCTTGAAAAGTGCATCGAATTTGGCGGTCCCTGGGACAACCCCGCACGAGGCTAAATACTCCGTGATCGCATGGGCATCCGAAGGTCGGGCGGGAGGAGGAGGAGGAGGAGGAGGCGGAGAAACGGGGGCCTCAGACGATTTCAGTTCTGGTCGAGGAGGTGGGGGATCATCGGCAGCAGTAGCAGACGACTCCTTCTTATCCTCCCCTCGCAAGAAACTCAAGCGCTGTGCCTGGGTCCAGGGTGGAGTATCATCTGGTAGATGAAGAGCCTGTAGATCGTCATCCAGAAGTTCGGATTCAGGACTCGTAGCTGTAACGTCCAATGCTGTGTTAGATCGATCATCATATGTAGATTTATTCCAGCAGCGTCTCGAGGAATTGTTGAATCTCTCTCTCCATGTACGCTGCTGGGGCATGGCCGTATTTTTGCTTCACACCCTGGATCTGCAGCATCGAACTGATTAGGATGTTGCGAAACGCTGGGTCTCGGCATGAAATCGTGAGGCGACACTTTCTTTGTTGTAGACCTTGTCCTGGCGGCAGAATAGCACGAGCTCGCACTTCGTGTCGACTGAGTATTCGGCGTACTCCTTGAAGCACTTGTTGGCTTGCTGGGCGTTCTGTGCTCCAATCGCGTCGCCCAGGGACACCAGTCCCTTGAGCAATCCTCCCATGGCCCAGATGTCGGGCGGGCCGAACTCGTGATCCTTGCCTGCTTTCTTGACGGCCGCGGCGTATAGGACGGTCTGCTCGCTCATCATGGTGATCAGCATGCACGCGGCTGGGAATATGAACGTGTCCAGAACCACTCCTGCGAGATCTCGTCCCTGTTGGCTGACTTTGAGTAGCTGCTTCATAAGAAGGCAGGAGAGCTTGCGAGTGGGGTCGTCGATCTTCTTCTTGAGCGCGGCGGACACCTCGGCCGCGTTGCCCGTGCCGTCGGTCTTCTGCTTCTTGCTCTTGTCGTTGCCTTTGCCTTTGTCCCCCTCCTGAGTCGGAGAAGATTCTTCGGGCAATTGGAGAGACAGGCCGGCATGATGTAGCCTTGGTAGCGGATGTGGTCGGTGCAACTCGCGAAGCTGCCGAAACAGCAAGATATTCGACTCAAAAACTACGGAGGGCTCGGGGCATATAGGGCATCTCCATTCATCCAACTGCTCGGGTTCCCAGGACATGTGAGCACGACCCATGGCACAGCGACCATATCCATATGATTGTTTAAGATGTTTGCGTGCGTTGTCAGCGTCCCGAAGGATGCTAAGCCAGTTGGGGCCTTGGTTCGTGGTAGCTCCACTATGCAGGATATACTTTACTCGGTGTCCGTTAGTCTGGTGGCCCATGAGTGCCCGATAAGTGTCAAATTGGAGACCACAGGGGGAGCCCTCCGAGTTCTCGATCATACACGTAAAGCTGTTTTCGCTTTTGGTTCCAGGACAATGTAATTCAGGGAATAGAGAACACCATTTGCCATAGTCCGTAAAGGCCGCGGCTCTAGTAATCGAGGGGTCGATCTTCAGAAACTCATGCGAGGACTCGGAGGAGGGGTCGAAGAGCGCCTTCCACGAGAAACCACTATCTTTCCAGACTTCGAAAAACTCTCGGTCCCACTGATCCCTCGAAAGAGCTGGAGGTTCTGGTCGAAGGTTTTGGCCCACGGGTTCGCTGCATCGCTGAGATGTCCACAGTCCTGTAAAGTGGGAGCCTCGTCACTGAGGTGGCCAAAAATACCTGCTACCGTCTGACAATGTGCGTGTCGGTGCAGAAGCATGCTCTGTAACCACTTGACTCGACGCACCGCCAACTCCCCACGGCAAGGGAGAATTCGCCATCTGTACAGCACTTCTGAATTCCGCAGAGAGTGAGTGTGAGAGCCATCGTGGAAAGTGGCAGCACCTCTCATCAGAACTCGTAAATACTTGACGATGCAAGAGTCGATTTTCTGGTACTCAGTAGGAGACATAGCGAAAGCCTCAAGACCTGTGATGCCACTCTCCACTACTTTGCCCAGGAACAGCTCACGCTTCAATCTGCGTAAACCTCGTTCGTGCCAGAATAAACCAATGACAAACCAGCCTGCGTGTATAGCTCGTATACGAAACTCCAGCTCGGTGGCGTTGGAGCCGCGCATGTGGTGGCGTGCACCTAAGTGTCTGGCGCTCGTGCGCACCGTGCCGTAGCTACTGGGGCAACTCTCCTGGAAGCGCTTGTTCGATTTGCGTGATCCTAGACATGGTATGATGTCCTTCTTCTGCATATTCTGACGGAAGTGCCATTTCCCAAGGATGTTATTCATGCTTTCGTCTCCCAGTCGAATCGCCTCCAGAGCCCCTGAAACCGAAGAGTCTTCTAAAAGCCGGCGGCGAAATAAATCATCAGCGAAACCTACCGTAGAGCAGTCCAGAGTGGGGGTCCCAAACGCGCTGTAGATATAGATGGGGGTCCCGTTGGCCTCGTGGATCTCGTTGTAGCACTTGTCAAAAACGCCTACAAACTGCCTCGGTGCCTCACAAGAGCCCTGGAGTCCCCCATTCTTGCAGATAAAAGCCTCAAACTTGTTGTCGATCGGGATTTTGACGACACTGTTAATTAGGCGCTGGTGTGCATAATCCCTCATATCCTCACGGACCATATCCTCAGACTGGATGAGGAGGTCGTCAGCAAGAGGACACATGAAAGCGTTCGTCATGTCATGCAACTCGCATACGTTCGGGGTCTTGGAGTTCCTCAGGGACCATCCTACTCGTAGCTGGACTAGTATAGCTCCTTCTCTCCTCCGATATTTCAGAAAACCATGCCAGTGGCCAGGAAAAAATCTATCAACTTGTTCGTCGCGATCCCCGTAACTATATAATACTGCATACCAATACTTCCAGAAAACATCAGATAAATGCACAATACGTTGACTCAACATCTGGGTCTTGCCGTTGGACTTGTCCAACAAGACTCCTTCTGTTATACTCGACTTCGTTGGAAGTTGACCAACCTGAAGGGATCGGATCACGAGATTCTCGAATTCCTTCCGAGCGCGAATGAGCTTGGATGTAGAATTCAACACGTTGTCGCGCCCATCTCTTGCTCTGGTCGTCTGGTCGATCGGGATGTTGTGAAGCATCTCTGGGACCACCAGTGGCGGCCCCTCTCCAGATGTCATGGCGAAGTCGAGGGCCTCCTCATTCAAGTCGTCGAAGGGGTCTCGATCAGCAGCATCCCATTCAGGTAGTGCTGGTGTCGGTGGTATTGGCTCTCCAGGCCCAGAGACATTGTGATGGAGGCCCAATCCAGGACGCTCCTCAGCTGCATCGGAGGAGGAGGACGAGGAGGAGGAGGAGGAGGAAGAAGAGGAGGACCTCCCCATCCTCCCTTCTCCCCCGCCTTCCCAATACAGCGAAAGCGTATAAGACGGACGAGCGGTAAGGACGCAAGACTCTTGAAAACCGAAATTGGGATTGTTTTGGCGGCGGACGACCACAACCCCAGGGACGCAAGATTACCCTAACCCGCACCCGTCCATGCCAGCGTGGCGTTGGGGCCCAAAGCAAAAACAATGCAAGGACGCAAGGGTGCCCTCAAAATCAGCACGTCTCCCTGGGCATGGCGCCGAAATCGAAGGGCCTCTGCTCGGGTGGGCAACGTGGCGCATGCTGCGAGGGCAAGGACGCGCAAAGGCCCCTGCCTGCACCGCGCCGTTGGGCCACGTCCGCCCGCGAACGAGGCAACGGGCCGAAGGCGGGGGCGGTCTGCCCAAGGACGGCCAAGGGAACATTGCCCGACCCGCGTCCTCAAGGCAACGTCCGCCCGCGAAGGAAACAACGACCGAGGGCGACGGCGGCGCGCCCAAGGACAGCCAAGGGAACCCTGCCTGGCCGACGTGCTCCATTTGCTTCCGCTCTCTGTGCAGCGCGCAGCGCACCGGTGACCAACAAGCGGTCGGGTCGCCCGAAAGCTGCTTCAGAAAAACCATTCGTGTCGCTCGCATTCTGGGCCTCAACATGGGCTGGTGCATTTGATTCCGCGCTCTTCTCCTGTGTAGCGCGCAACGCACAGGTGACCCACCAGCGGGTGTGTCACCCCACTTTTGCCACTTGCACTCTGGACCCCAACGTGACTTGGTGCATTCGTGCTCCATGTGCTTCCCCTGTGGAGCGCGCAAACAGCGGGTTGGCCACAAGAAACACGGCTGCGAAAAAACAGCTGTCCCACTTGTAATATGGGCCTGAACATGTGTTGGTGCAATCGTGCTCCAGACGCTTCCCCTGTATAGAGCGCAACGTACAGGTGACCCACTAGCGGGTGGGTCACAAGAACATTGGTCCATGGTGGAGATAAGAACCAGCTGTGTCACTTGCACGTTGTGCCTTCCCATGAATTGGTGCAGTCGTGCCCCGCACGCTTCCCTTGTGTAGCGTGCAACGCAGAGGCGACCCACCAGCGGGAGGGTCACACACAAACTGGCTGACAAAACACTGGTGTCAGTAGCAATCTGGGCCTCAGCATGAGTTGGTGCAGTCGTGCTCCAGTTGCTTCCCGTGCGTAGCGAGCAACGCACATGAGACCCACCAGCGGGTGGATCACCCGAAAACTGGTTGAGACAAGCCATGTATATGTTCACTTGCTGGAGCCATCGTGTTCCATACGCTTCCCCTGTGTAGCGGGCAGCGCACAGGTGACCCACCAGCGGGTGGCTCACTAACAAACTGGTTGGGAACAAACCAATTGTGGCAGTTGCGTTTCGTGCCTCGATATGACTTCGTGCCCTCGTGATCAATATGCGTCCCCTGCGTCGTGCACAACGCACAGGCGATTCACCAGTGCGTGGGTCACCCGAAAAGTGGCTGGGATAAAAACAGCGATTTCACTTTCGTGCTGGGCCTCAACATGAGTTGGTGCAATCGTGTTCCATACGTTCCCCCTGTGGAACGCGCAAAACTGTTTGGGAAAAAGCAAGTGTGTCACTTGCGTTCTGGGTCTCACCATGAGTTTGTGCACTCGTGCTCTATATGCTTCCCCTGTGTAGCACGCAACGCACGGGTGACCCACGTCCTCAAGGTGCAACGTCAGACCACGAAGGAAGAAAGCGACCGAGGGCAACGGTGGCGCGCCCAAGTACGGCCAAGGGAGCCAGCCTTCTTTGGCCAACGTCCTACGGGCCACGCCCGCCCGCAAATTCAGCGACGGGCGATGAAGAGGGCGACGCGCGCGCCGAAGGACGACCAGGGGTACCCTTCCAGCCCGCGTCCACAGAACGGCCCCGTGAAGGAGCGCCCCGCCGTGCAGCCGAGAGACGGCGCCCGCCCCAAGGGTACCTTGAAAAGCTGGCCCAAGGAAGCGGCCGCAGAGGTAAGGACACAAGGGTGCCCTGGAAAAGGCGCGTGTCATGACTATGCGCGTTGACTGTGGTGGTGGTGGAAAATTGGCCCACCACCTGACTCGAGCGGTCCGGTCGGATCCAATGTTTGCTCGAGCCGTGCTTTCGCAAGACATCTATGCATCAGGGTGTGTACAGACATAGATGCCGGGATGGGGAGGCTTGGGAAATTCGGCTTACCCTCTCGAAAGATAGGAGGCAGGAGGGAGGGAGGGAGGACGAAAGAGAAGAGGAGGAGGAAACATGAAGCGCATGATACCGCGGTCACAACTAAGACACGGATCGCCCCTGAGATGATTACCCAGCTCCAAACGAAAGTTCTGGCACGCGTGAGAACAGAACGCTTGAAGCACTGTCGTCGCAGCCGAGATACCACTCCAGGGTACCCGTTCAACACGGCAGCTTACTAGCTTTTGGTGGTCTCGGGGTGGCAGGACGCCCAATCAAAAAGCGATTGCTACGGAGGGGTTGTGCGCGAACAGTGTCACTCTGGAGACAAATCAGTCGACGACACGACGACGACGATGACGACGACGACGACGGCGGCGGCGGCGGCGGCCGCGGCGGCGGCGGCCGCGGCGGCAGCGAGCAGGAGGACGAGGACGAGGACAGCGAACAAGAGAACGAGGACAGAGCGGAGGACGAGGAGCAACGAGGAGCAGGGGGACGAGGAGCAGGAGGAGCACAAGCAGCAGAGGGACGAGGAGCAGGAAGACGAGGAACAGGAGGACGGCGAGCAAGACGACGACGAGCAGTAGGACAAGAAGCAAGATGACGAGGAGGAACCCGGGGGGCACGACGACGAGCAGTAGGACAGGAAGCAGGAGGACGAGGAGGAACCCGGGGAGGAGGTTCATTACTGACCAGGGGCGCCTAATTCTGCCTCGGTCAGATCTGCCTACGAGAGCGAGGGCGACCTGGACTGCCTCGGCGAGGCAGGAAAGTGCAAACTTGAAACCGCCAGCCAGGCTTGCTCGGACATCCTAGAAGAAGAACAAACGACAACAACATAAACTGTCGAAGCCCGAACGGAGTCTTGGATCGACGCCGGGGGGGTCCAGCGCAGGACCATGGACTCCGCGAGGACCTTCGAATGTATATGTTTGCGCAGTTGCTGTTCTTCCACAGTCGACGGAGGAACATCACCAAACCATCCAATTTCAACTGGGGGGGGACGACTGGGCCAGGGCGGCCTGAATCGTCGTGCTGGCCCAGGGCGGCCTACATCGTCGTGCGCCCGTCGCGCAGACGCACGCAACTTTCGACCGCCCTGATGCAGTCGCTCCCGCGGCAAAAACAACTTTTTGCTGTGCTGCTTTGCGCCCATGGAGACGCTGTGTCGCAGTCTGGCAGGGTGATGAGCCTCGAGCTTCTTGAAAGTAACACTCACCCCACCAGGTACGACTGAATTGGGACAAACGGGGGCAACGATTCACAAGACAGATTGCCTGTACCGAAAGTGTCCTGCATCCATTGAATTACATCAGCTGAGCGTGCGATTTAAAATACGCAAGAACACAACATCCATAGCCTAGATACCAAGAACATCCAGATATAACCGTGCACCCTTGATTCGAACTTTATTCGAACAGTGTCTGAAGGGACACGACAAGCAGGCGGAGCTGACAGTGCGCTGTCCACCAAGTCCCCCCTGTCCAGGCTCTCCAGCTGCTGCAAGGCTTGATTATTGAGCATCGTTGGAGGCCTCCGAAATGGGGAAAGAGTAGATGGGGTTGGAGGATCGAGCCGCTTCGCCAATGCGTCGCCGATGCATCGGCGATGCGTCTGCGACGCCAGCGATGCACCAGCGCCGTCGGCGTGGAGAAAGTCGGGATCCGCATCGAGCCGCATCGCCAATGCATTAGCGATGCGGCGAGATCATCCGACCCCATCAACTCGGACCCGATTTGCGGGCAACTCCGAACGGTGCGGCTTGCACATGGTGCGGCTTGCAACCCGCACCCTCGGGGGCGGGAGAGGACCTAGACAGAGTTCACCGCCGCGTCCCGAGGATGCCCGACGAGGGCAACGTGATATCCCCAGGTCGCAACGACGCAGAACGCAAACCACATCCCAGCGTACTCAACCACAACCTTCGTCATCGCCGAGCTTGGGAGGCCTTGAACATTGGACCGGCCAATCGCCAGGGCGGCGACAGCCCGCCAGCCAGCTTCACTGCATCCACACTGTGGTCTGCCCGCTCGCCTGCTCCCAGCAGTCCTGCGGCAGTCAACAAATACCGATACCCCTCGGTCGGAAGAAGTAGGTAGGAACATGAAGTAGGAAGGCGTTGACAGTAGATGGGGTGTCCGCCCACCCCCTAAAGAGGACAGAACAGGTGAAGCCACTTGACCATTGAAGTAGGAAGGCGCTTAAAGCACATGGGTATCTGAGAATCCAAAAATACCTACGTTCAACGACCGCTGGGTACCGCTGCTCTCCGGACCTCTCCAAGGGTGCGTTCTGACCAGACTTTCGAGGCAACTCCAGCTGTGGCGACGAAGGCTTCGCAGGAGGCCCAAAAAGGCGAGCATGAGCCAGGGGCAGCGGTACCGCCACTTTTTCCCTCCGGCCAGGTCCAGCCACGCCTCGACGGACTTGAACTTGTGGAACGCGGCGGCCTGCGTGTCCGTGCAATCTTTGCGGTCGGGGCACTGCCCGGGGTCTCCGGGGCAGCAGGTCTCGTCCCGGACCTGATCCACGTCCAGCGCCTGCTCGACCCCGAGCATGTTCAGACAGTGCCCCAGGTAGAGGTCCTCGCCCCAGTGCGCCCAGTCGAGCTCCTCCTTGCAGCGGCCGTGGCCCTCTTCGTACACCCGCATCCCCCCCCTCGAGACGACCTCCACCGCGCCGTACATCATGGGGTAGTCGGAGGACCCCGGCCAAATGTCCCTGTGGTCGCAGTTTGGCACGTAGACGCTCCGCCCAGCCCAAGACTGCACGTGGCCGCGGAGCCGCGACGGGAGCAGCACGGCATCTGGGTCCACCTTGACCGTGAAGTCGTGGGTCAAATGATGCGCCGCTGCGAGAATGGCACTCCAGGCGTTGATGAAGGTCTGCACGTTGGCTACGGTGCCAGACTGTCCCACGCCGCCGTCCACGACTTCCACGGCGGAGGTCTCGATTCCCATTCCAAGGTCCACCACCGAATTGCTCATGACCGTCTTCTCGTCGCAGTCAAAGATGCCTGCGCGCTTGGACACCATTCCGCGCATGAGATCCAGCTCTCCGCCGAGAGCGACCGAGAAGCACAGGAGCGAAGGACTCCCCCACGGCTGCTGAGCCAGAAGCCGCGTGGAGGTATTGCAGGGCCTGGTGCAGTTGTTGATCCCATCACGGTGCATCTTCGCCTGGAAGTCCTCGAACGTTGATTCCAGCGAGAGCCCCTCGTACCACTCGGGTTTCGTGTGCACCCCCGTGAAATACGCCCACAGCACAGCCCCGTAGCACTCCTCGCCGCGGACGGCAGTATGGCACTCGATAGCGAGGGGCAAAGATGGAGGGGACCAGCTCAGGGGGGGGGAACATCGAGCTGGAATCGGCGATACATCGCCAATGCATTGGAAATATGCTCTCGATGGCGAAACCGCCCGTTCCTGGGCGGAGCGGGCTATCGGGTCCCTATCGGTGATGAGTGGGCGATTCGGGGTCGATGCATCCCCCCTGAGCCTATCCCCCTCTAACGGTGCCCCTGACGCTGGAACCCATCCCCAGGCTAGCGCCTGAGGTGGCCTCTGGTTGAGGAACCACAAACTGCACAAACATAAATTTCGAACGCACGCGCGGATTCTTGGATCGGTGCTCAGGCCCCCCGGCGGCCCCTCCGGCGCCGCCCCTGGCGCGCTCCGCACGCCAGGGAGGGGCTTCCAACACAGATCCAAGAAATCTGCGCGGACCTCCGAAAATGTATGCCCATGCCGCTGTTGGCTCCTCTCTATTCGGCGACCGCCTTGCCTCTTTCGGCTGCGGGCTTGGATGGCCCGTGGTCCGCCGCCTTGCCGCCGGCTGCGGATACGACCTCGGCGGGCCGAGGTTTCCAGTGCTCCGCGCCGCTTGCTGGCCCATGGGCCTTCCTCCTCCACCTCCTCCTCCTCCACCTCCTCCGCCACCTCCTCCTCCTCCTCCTCCTTTTGCTCCTCCTCCTCCTCCTCCACCTTCTCGTCCTGCTCCTGCTCCTCCTCGTTACAGCCTCCTCCTGCTCCGCCCCATGGTGGGACGCAGACGGCCATAACTATGCGACCCCCTTGGAGGCGCTTGTCCGATACGAGCATGTAGTACAAACATCTTGTAGACTATGCTCACACGGCGTAGCCAGAAAGCGGCCGCCACCAAACATAGACTGTAAGATCTCTGGCGCGCGCGTCGCCACGTGAGGGGCAAATGTACACATAATGCAGATATGTCTGGGTGCCGATTCCTAGTATCCGCTACCATGTCGGGAGGCGGACGATGTCTTCGGACGGATTAGCATAAAACATGTCAGAAGTGGAACAACACATCAGTGCTGAAGGCATGAATCGACTGTGCAAGGTCGAGCTGGGCGCAGGCATAGACTTCCAATTATCAGGCAAGGTGGTCGACGCTCGTCCTTCGACCCGATATCAGAAGCTACCATGCAGCACAACATTACGCCAGATTCAGAGATGACGGGCTCGTCATCCTCCGGGGCGAGATGAGAAGTGGTTTACGCTGACCTCTCTGAGGCACATGGAGAAAGGCAGGTGATTCAAAATCGAGCTCGAGAGTAGATCGATTGAAGCCGCCACGATGCTTGATGCTGAGCTGCGGAAGGATGAGGAGTCGGGTGCCATACCAAGCCTTGTTCCATGTTCGCTCCCCTGTCTATCTCGTCTGCTCACCCCTACAGGTGGCCATGGCGTGGCATATTACAATAATTCATCGGTACATGTCCTTGAATATCAACGCAAATGCCGCAAAAACAAGCATTGCGTAATTTTCTGGATCCGTCCGTGTCACAAGTGGTGACGAGTTTTGCAGAAGGCCTCGTTTTACCCAATACGCATCCCGCGTGGCTTTAGCATCATTCCCTCCTGCAAAGAGTGGGAGCACGCGAAATCTGGTCGCGCATTCTGGGAGGCCGACAGCTTGGTGTGCAGGAGAGGGTCAGAGACACCTCGCATATCTTTCAGAATGGTCAGGAGGTCACCATGGCAGCCGCACCCGCACCGTGGTGCGCCAGTCCATGGAGGTTTGCTGGGTCGGTGGAGGCCTGCAGGCCCTGCAGCCCGTGGGCCACAGAGGCCCGCCGAGCGCAGGCACGCGTGCCTGGAGCGCCACAACGCGCAGGCCGACACCCGCTGAGGTCTCCGGGGGTCCTCGCCACGCCGGCAGCATCATCCCGCTGTACCGAGGCTGCTGGGCAGTCCTTCTCATTCACAGTGATGACGGTGACGGTGACGGTGACGATGACGCCTGCTGGCCCCTGGGCACTTCTCCTCCTCCTCCTCCCCTTATTCGCCGGCCCAACGGGCCAGAGGCGTGCTAAGATCTCCGGTAACTTGTTAACAATATTTCTAGTTCGCGCGCGCGGAGCGGCCCCTGGGGGCCCCCGGACGAAAAGTACCCCGGCAAGGTCCCGAGAGAAGCCCGGGAGAAGCCACCAGACCACTCCAGGGGAGGGTATTTTTCGACACCCCTCACGAGGATCGTGGCCTCCGAGGGGGGAGCCGCAATCGACTACCCCCAAGAGGCCCCCAAGAGGCCCTGGGGGCCTCCAAAACGCCGCCAAGGAGCCCCAAGAGACTCCCAAGAGGTCCCCAAGAGGCCCTAAAGAGGGCTCCAGGGCCGGCGGCATGAGCGAAGCGATTAAATAAACTTATCCTTATCCGCCAGGATGCCGCGAGGCACTGAGTGGAGCGTCCTCAGGTCCCTCGAGTGCTCCATCCGCAGAAGTGGCCCACAGCCCTGAGCTCCCGCCGCTCCTAGGCGCTCCTGGGCGCGGCCCGGTGTTGTCGAATGGCCCTTTCGGCGGAAAGAGGATCTCCAAATGGGCCAAAAAAGCCCATAACACATCCCTGTCGCAGCCCCAGGCTTGTCGGTAGGTCGAGCCGGGCGTTTCGCCTGAGACTTCCTCGCCACTTATGACCCTGAAGCTTGACATCTGCAACAGCTGTGAGGATGAAGTGCGGTTCCTTTGTCCAAATATGTGGCTCTCCCCTTAGCACCGCGCACACTTATCGTGAAAGTTCGCAGCAATTTGTCAAGAATGGAAGGCGTTTCTGCTTCAAAGTCGGACTATCGCCATAGCGTCGCAGTATTCGTCGTAAACAGTCTCGACAACTGCAAGAATGGAGCACAAATGATTTTACAAGAGGGAATCTCCCCATACCGTCAAGTCGGCAGGGGGGCTTTCGACGAAAAATAAAAAATACTCAAACCATACCCCCAAATGGTCAAGCAATGCTCAACAAATAGGCCCCATACTGTTTGTTGTGACTATTTTTGGATAGCCCTCCTGTAGAGGGACAGGCACGACTTCACCATAGCGCTGCCCACGCTCTTCTTCAAAAACGAGACGGCTTCGATGACTGAGGGCGGCTCCTTTTTCAACACGTGCCTCTCGCCTCTCACCCAGCGACGCGCACGTTGACCCTCACATATTGCAGCAGCGTCAAGGACGGAGGGGGGCATCTCGAAGAGCACCTTCGTCCTGAGAGTTCGCAACAACTACCCAGACGGGGCACATGTGGGTTCTCAAGCGGCGGCTCTCGCCTCGACACCGCGCGCATGCTTCTCAGGGGGAGCTTGCAGCGCCGCGCGCATTCGTCATAACATTGTGAAACTGGTGGAGGCTGGTTCCCTGTGCAAAGTGTGACTCTCACCTTAGCACCGCGCACATTCGTTTGTGATGTAACCGCCTGCGACAGTCAGGGAGATCGAAAGCGGTTCTTTTCAAAATGGCCCATCGCTGGGACATGGTTCATTGAAAATGCCTGACACTTCTGGTTCATTGAAAAGGCCTGACACTTCGCTGGGACATGGTTCATTCAAACACATCAAGCAATGCACGGGTCCAGGGCGGCTCCTTTTCAAAATAGAGCTGTAGCCTGAGGTTTCCTCGAAACCCATGGCCGCATGCGTAAACGAGTGCAGCATTCAAGCGCGTGGGGAGGCTGTCCTTCTTCCAAAATGAACTCGCTAGATATTTCGTTGAATGATATGTTCATCGCTTCCGCAATCCTGTTTACGTACACGCCAAAGGATGCAAGGCAATTCCTTTTCAAAGCAGGGTGTCCGCTTTAAAATGGCAGGCCTATTGATTGCTGGTCTTTTGAAGGGTGCCCTTCCTATAGTGATCCGGAAAGCCTGCAGGCACGTATGAGGATGGGACTGATGACAGGAGGGTGTACTGCAGCAGCGCTAATGCATCCTGGGCTTACTCTGGTTTGACAGGCGAAGAACAATATGACATAATCTTTTGGGTTGTCGGGGGCGCCTGTCCCGGGGCGGCTGGAAAGTTTATACCCGTATGGTGGCACGGCAAGGTATAAGCTTTCCAGCCGCCTGGGGGGCAGGGGTCCCCGACGGCGGACAAGTTTATGCTGTACCGTTCTTCAGTGCTAACTGGTCCTCCTCATCCTCCTCCTGATCCTCCTCCTCCTCCTCCTCCTCCCTCCCTCCCTCCTCATACGCCGCCTCCCTCCTCCTCCTCCTCCCTCCCTCCCTCCCTTTCTCCCTCCCTCCCTCCCTCCTCTCCCCCCCTGCTCCTCTGCCTCGCCCCCGTCCCCGCCCTCGTGTCCGCCCGCCTCGCCTCGCCGCTGTCCTCCTCCCCCCCTCCCCAGAGGGCGCAGGCGAGGGAGCACCGCACCGCTTGAGCAGGGACCGACCGTCCTGGCAGTCCTACCGGCCTACCAAGACACGTTCTCAGAACCCCCAACATGTTCCAAGATCGACATGAGATGCTTAGGCCACATGCCCCAAGTGTTGATACAAGACGGCCTCAGCCAGAGAGGTTCTGAGAACATCTCGTGCAGACCACAAGCAATCCTTAGAACACTCTTGGGTGGGTCTAAGACATCGGCAAGCCAGGACGCTTCGCCACTGCTCGTGAGAAAGGTGAACTGTTCGGGCCCTAGAGGCCTCTTCTGAACTCTAAAGGCCCCTCTAAGGACCCGAAAGAGCCATCTTTTCTGCCGCCCTCGCTGCCCCCCCATCTTATCGCCTCCCCATTACGCGACGCCCAAGCGGTTCTGGAGCATGTCTTGGGCGCCGCGGCCTTCTCCGAGCGTTCCAGAACGGATTCATCCTCGTCCCCCAAACATGCGACATCCTGATTTTTTTGAATTACGGGGTCCCTGAAATTCCGACCCCCGGGACCGGTTTTCCATCTCGGGTCGTTTTTGACGGTCCCGAGACCCGGCGAGGGCCTCCCGAGGCCGAAACTGGCCGCCCCGAACCCCCCGTCCTGATTTTTGTTTCACCACGCGAGGGGGTCTATAGGGACAGGGAACGGCTTCCTCCTCGTCCTCGCCCCGTCTGGAGAAGGAGAAAAACAGCATAAACATAAAGTTGTAGCGCTCCGCGTAAATCTATTGGATCTGCGCTGTGCCACCCCTCCCTGGCGCGCGGAGCGCGCCAGGGGTGGCGCCGCAGGCGTCGCCAGGGGGGCCCGGCGCAGATCCAAGAAATCCGCGCGGCGCGCCAAAAGATTATGCTTCTGCCACTCTTCCCTCTTCGACCCTTGCCCCGTCCGGCCCGCTGAGCCGCCGCTGGCTGCGGCGGGGGCTTCGCCGGCGGCGGCTTCCGCGGCGCCGGCTTCGGCGGCGCCGGCCCGGCCGCGGCGGAGACCTGACTACCTACCACACCACCCCAACCCAACCCGAAGGCCCGAATTTGACCCGAACTTCGGGTTGGGGGGGGTACGGATTCCATGTGTTTTTCACATGTTCCCCGACCCCCCCCCACTGGAAATGGAGGGCAACTTGCGGCCTTCGGGTTGGGTTGCGGTGGTTTGGTGGGTGGTTTGGCGGCGCGCAGAGAGGGGTAGGGGGAGGGGCG